TGCATTTTGTACCCACTTCTGCTTTGAGTGACTTCTCTTGACTCCCATTACTGCCTCTGTCTCTCTGGAAATGTTGGTTCTGTTGTTATGTTATTCCTTATGTCTTGTCATGTGAAATGAAGTAGAAAGGGTATTTTGGTGAAACAATGTCCATCCTATTGAAATTTAACTGAAGAGTTTCCCCGAATTTGTCGTTAAGGAATCCTACAGAGCCCTATCTGCAATGGCTTCCTATTTGGAGGCAGCCCCTCGTTGCCATTATCTTTCTCCCAGGGTATTTCTTAGCCTGGTATTTGAGAGGTCTTCTACAACAGGCCTTACATATGCACTGCTGGCTTTCCCTCAGTTTTGCTTGGAGGTTATTATTCTCAGCATTGAGGACTCTTTGAAGTGAAATCTGTAGTGGAATGGGTTTGGGCTAGTGGTAAGAATGTGCCTGTGCCATTGTCTCCTCAGACTTCTCTGTGCAGTGTGCACTGAATCCCAAGCTAGTCTGTGTGGTGCCCATTTGGTCTTCAAACTTTCTGAATCTGTGGTTTCCATTTGTTTTAATGCATCTGTTGATTTCTCCCAGAAGCATAGCTCAGAAATAACACCTACAGAAGACTGCCTTTCAGCTTCTGTGAAGTCAATCATTTTCATTCAACCTTTCTTCCTGCTCTCTAGTTTTAAAAACCAGGTCCATCCTTCCAGGACCATCTGAAACACCACACTGCCACAGGGCTTTCCCTAGAAACTTGATGGTTGTTTCCAATCTTTATTCCATATTTCCTGCGTCTTTGTTATCTTTGTTTTCTTTTCTTATGTGGACATTTTACTTATCTCCTTATTAAGTTAAACTCTTGTGGGGAAGAATATATCACTTTGGATACCCTGTGGAACTCTATTTTTTACATGTAGCAGGCCTGGCTCAGTTAGCTATAGAGTTGAAACCCATCAGGATGTCCTTTATAGGACTATGTTTAAAGTCGTCCTTAATATACTCTTACATTGTATTCTTTTGTTCTATGTACTTGAATTTTGTGTATCCAGAAAAGCCATTTAGAGGAAGGTCACATTTGCTTTCAGGATTGGCTTTATCCAGTCTATCTGTAACGTTGTAATGGTCTTAAGTTACAGGATCAAGATAGTTATAAGTAAACTGTTTTAGATACACCTAGCTCAGTGTCATCTCTTATCTCTGGTGAGACACCATTGTTTCCTATTACAGCATGCCTAGCAAAGACAATAAAAGAACACCTCTAAAAATTGGGTAGTTCATGTTGTGATTTTGAAGTTCGAAGTTTTGACTGGTCCTGTGCTTCAAAGAAAAAAAAAATCACTTTTTTTTTTGTTGCTTCCTACCGACTCACCAACCAAAAAAGGTCGGAGTGGCAGTAGGAGGCAGAAATGAAAGTAAGAGTTTTCTTATGAGACACTAGGCTGTCACACAGTTTAAATTTCAAAATCATTGAAACGGTTCTGCATTTCTTTTCACACTGTTCCTTTCGTTTCTGCCTCCTGCTGCTGCTCCTGTATGGTTGGAGCGCTTTCCCTGTTGGAAATAGGCAAGTGTCATGCCAGGCTCTGGCTGCCTTGTGGCATGTGGGGGAAGGGAGAGCTTTCCTTTCTCCTCTTCTCTGCCTTCAGACTGATGGTGTGAGACAGTGAAAGAAAGGCTGCCTGACAAGAGCTTATAGGCATTATTGCTTATTAAGTCTTTGAGGAATGTTCCTGCTCTCGGTGGCATTTTAAGAGACTGGGAAGGGCAGCCTGGGCCCAGGGATGACAACCTTCTTTGTTTTGTTCCACACCATTGGCCTGAATAATGGGGGTGATATGGCAACATATGGTTAGCCTAGCGACTCCTTTGCTTTTGTAACGCTAATGGAAGTGTGGACATAAACAGAAACCTAAAGAAGTCAGACACCAATTCCGATGGAGTGATGAACTGTATCATCTTATTAGCCCGGCTCTCCTTTTCCTTATTGAGATGAGCCTATAAACCCCTACATTGCCTATCCTGTGTGCTCTCATTTTTAGGACAGCATGAATCCCTTTGTGTTGAAGGTTTGGAATGTGGAGTTTATGTATTTTATGTATTTATGTATTTATTTATTTGCATTACTGCTGCCCTCATGAAGTTAGGGCAATTTTTTTTTTATTACCACCCCTGATCTTTCTCCCTTGATACTGCCCACACACTACCACCTAGAGAGCAATTTGACTTGATTCTTCCGTATTTCATCACTTGTACAACAGATGATTTTCCTTTTCCTCCTTTACTTCAGATGGCATAAATGGTGAGGACAACAAAAGTTAAAATAGTACAGGAAGACTAATTTTAAACAATAAAACTTTATATTTCCTTTCAGTAGAGGTTTATGACAATGTGTGACCATTTTCATTTTTAGGTTTTTAAGTGAGGAGGGTTATGTTGGGTATCTACTTTATAATTCTAAAATTAATTATATAAACACTATCAGTGCAATTTTAAGAATTTCTAAGGAGATGAATTTTAATAATGACCAGAGGTTTGAATTCTGGGGGTTTCTGCTTTTATTTTACAATTTGAAATATTGTACTATTTGGACTGTTTGTGAAAGAGAACATGTACCAGAACTTCATATAGAAAACAGTCTGTCCTTTTACAGTTTGCAGAGTATGAGAACACTATTTTAGAGTCGGCTTCTTTAACCACAAGATGCGGTAGCCATTGTTTCAAGCTTCCTGGCAGCACAAACTAGCATTCCCTTAGGATTTTGAATATGTGAACACGGTCAAGTGTACCCCATTGCATATTCTGGGTATAACAAGTATTGACTGTGGGCAGGAGGAAGGTAGCCCCCTGGTGGCTTGAAGCATGGATAAGGCCTTGGTCATGATCACTGTATTGTCTTCTCTTTCTCTCTCTAGTTTGTATTCCAGAGTTAGTCCCTGAGCAATGAGGCTCATTTTGCTTACATTGATGGGCTGTGAAAGTGTTTGTCATGTGTCAGTGAACAGTGTTATTTTTCAGGAAGCCTTTATAGTAATTTCGGCAATGTGGTCTCCTCACAGGTGTTCCCTTCATGTAGATTTAAAGTATGTAGGTGGCACAGGGGGGTAAACTGCAACAGTGCCTTTCAGGAAAGACATGCTTGCCATAGTTGCTCTTCACGGCCTGATCCTTCAGTAAAGCCTGAAGCTTCTCAGTAGTCACATCCCCAGTCTTGAGGCTCCCCACTGTCAACCCAAGCTCTCCCACCTTCTACCTCTTCTCTCCTCCCACTGTCTCCCCATGCTTTCCCACCTAGTTCTTCTCTCCTCCAACCCCAAGTGTATCATCCCCTGACCTTACTCTCAGCTGACATGCCCTGGAGGTCACACATTTTCCAACTGGAATCTGTGCCTCTAGTTAATGGGATGAACCTACCACCCTGCCCTCACTTGCCAAAATTCCCTATAGAGCCAGATCCTATACTATCCCCTACTCAGTTTAGACTGTTCTAGGATGCGGTTTATATTCAAGTCTCTTATTTCTTTTTTATTTTTTTCTTAAAGTAAGCTCCACCCTTCTCACCACCTGACTTGCTCAGGCCTCATCTTTACCAACTGCATTGGAAGATAATTGAAAATAGCTATTCTTTGAAATCCGTCCTTCTCCTGGCTTCCAGATATCTTTTTCCCCCCCTCTTGTTTTACAGGC